TTGCAAGGCACTGAGGCATGGTCTTGACAGTAGGTACTGTGGGGATTTCTTCCTGGAGCTTCCACTGGGGTACACTTATCAAAGGAGATCTGTTCTGTGGCTTGCCAACTCCTTGGTTGAGGGACTATGGGTGATGGATCTCCCCTCATAAAGGATGCAGCAACTTTGGGTAGCCCTGCCATATTTCCTGATTTGAAAAACAATTTGTTTTCCTTGACAAGGTGGGAATTGTCTGACATGTTGTGTAGTGCACCCATCAGCCCCCTATTCACTGCTGATTCCCTCATTAACTCACAAATGTAGATTGAATCTATCCCCAGAAGCTCTCCACCGGGAGTATCAGGACCTTACAAAATGCCTGGATTAATGGGACTACCCACTGGATCTGCCTGGGTGCCCAGGAGTACCACACTCACCTCTGTGTTCAACTCAATCCCAAGCTAAGGCAACATTGCAGTGATACTGGTGGCCAACACCAGAAGCACAAATCTACAGAGGCTCATCAAAGCTATGATGGCAGTGATAAGGAGAATCAAGATGGGGAAGAAAGTCCCCCCACCTGTTTGAAAAAAGAGGCCCAAGCCCTTGAAATGCCACCCAAGGAAAGGGCAGGCCTTAGCCACTGTAGACGCAGCAAATGGCAGAGGTGTGTCGAGACGAGGTGGGAGGCAGGAGTCCGAGTATATCAAGGAGTGACAGAAGCACAACGAAGAGGCACAGAAGCAAGCACAAGCACAGATGAAAGGAATAGTGATCTCAAACAACAGTGGGATAGTGTCAGAGGCCAATCACACCAGCAATCAAAAGGGAATCTAGTTGCCCAATGACCAAGTTAGATAGGTAGTATCTAAAAGGATACAAGTACTTGCCTAGTTGCCCAATGACCAAGAGGTCAAGATGGGGAACTAGGATCTGTCTACTGTCCTTTATATACTACTCTTGTCTAATGAGTAAGCAATTGTAAATAACAATGTGATATAGAACAAGAGTGAGGAATCAATATATACAAGTAATAATGAGTTAATAATGAATCATAATGAACTAATCGATGAATAAGGATGAGTTGTATGGAAGCATATTGGAAACAAATGGAACTAGTGGGATGATCGTGTGATAAAGTACAATAAACATGTGCAAAGAGATTGATGGGAACACACCGCTGATGGCGCATCAAAGGGTGCATCATGAGACTTCATGACAAGGTGCTCCAAAGAAGTTTTCATCCTCCCTGGAAAACACTGCCAAGGGTGCCAGGAAGCCAGCTAGTGGAAGTGTAGAGAAGGGGAAACAAGGGAAGCAGGGGAAGAGCAAGGTGTTTGTTATTGACAATGACAGCATGTCTGAGTTAGAGTGAGATTCAAGTGCCTAACATGTGAAAAAAATGCACGGGCACTTGGTAAAGACAGGGTGGCAAAGGACCTAGCGAGCAAGGTGATGAGAAGATGATGAATCCTGCCTGACCCAAGCAAAGTTCCATCCACAGCAGTGGATATGAAAAGTTTGAGCCTATTTAGCTGCAAATACCTGTCACCAGGTTCGGGTCTGATAGGATTCTGTGTGGAAGATCTCCAAAAGTCAAAACAGTTTTATCGGATTTAACAGCAGTGAGGCGTCGGATCCGTCGGGAAAATCGCATCACGTGTTAACATTGACACCCTTCATGATGGTTCAATGATTAACGAGGCGATTAAGCTTGAAGTTCTTCCCTAATTCTTCCTCAAAGTTATACGAATTACTGCTGTCTAAGTAGTCCACGCTTTAATCTCCAGCATGAGGCCGCTCGCGACAGGATTAGGAACACTGCAAACTCTAGAGGCTGGAGCTGCCACAAAACCGGAAATTCATGCTCCGAATTGCTACCACTCATTAAGCGTCGCTTATATCCACTCGAGCTCTTTCATGATAGACACAAATGAACAACGCGAATGCAAGGCCTGCTTTTACGAGACGCTCTGAGTGTCACCATCGTTTTCACATCGTATGATACGGCAAAAGAGAGGTCCAACGAAAAAAAAATTGAGGAAGCAGCTGGAGGCAGTACCAGGCAGAACCTTTGTTCCATCGGTGAGTGGTACCATTGCTTGATCCTATTCGTCCGAATGCTAGTTTCTGATCGCGCCATCAAGTCGTGATGTGTCCCTAGATTGTGAGGTTCAGGTTCTCCTCCTTAACATATCTATAAAGGGCCTTCGAGTTCACGGATATGCTGTGCCCTCGAAATGTTCTCCAAAGGACCTGTGCTCGCTCTAGTACTTCTTCTAGTCCGCTCAAGCTCAGGGTACAGACAGCCTTACGAATACCTTGAGGCTCTCGATGTCTTTGGGGCTGCGTATGTATTCTGTCATTTCCAAATATACCTTGACTAATCTTTTTTCCCGTAGATTTTCTAACCCAGCAGGGGTTTTTAACGGGTCGACTCCCTCCCCCCTCTCTTCAGACGTAGTTGGTCGCATCGATGCTATCACGACATTTGTTGGTCAGGAGCTCAACGCTGAATTCCTCTTCGGTCTTTTCTACCAAGATACACTGTTGGATACTACAACGCAGCTGATTGGAATTCCTTCTGGTATGACGATCCAATCTGCCGTCGTCGAGCCCCCAGTTGTCGCGGTCAGCTATATTAGCGACATGGCCTTCCCCACAGTCAACCTGAGCATCCCTCTCCAGATTGACATGTTCATGGCCTTTGACGATGATAGCATGAAGGTTGTCTCGTACGATGCTATTCTTCGTCGAATAGATGAACTTATGGCCTACACCGCCCCGTACTTGGCGCCTCAAATCGCGGAGGAATTGAACAGTACATCGACGAACGTCACTGAACTGATTCAACTGAAGACTGCCGCCGATGTTTGTGCGGTCTCGAATCTATATTGCACTGGCGAATTTCAGCAATATGATTCTCAGGATGCTTGCTTGACGTTCATGGAAGCGTTACCTTTCGGCGAATCATGGCAAGGAGGAATGAACACTGGCTGGTGTCGGTACATCCACAAAAGTATGTTTGTTTTGGCTCCTTCCACTTTGCAGGGGCTTACCGTAGTGACTTGTCCGATGTTTTTTAGATCTAGTGCAGTTCCGGCCTGACGTTCACTGTCCTCACATCGGTCCAACTGGAGGCGATATGTGTATAGATCGTAATTATCTCGAGGTCACAAGTACTGTTCCCTTCAACCAAACTCTACTGTCGTACAATTCCAGCTACAACGCTGCTGATATGAAAGGTATATCGGAAAACGACGTCCAGCAACTGGTCAAAGTCCAGACCCAAGCAATCACAATGACTACTGTCGCCTTCGTAAGCCCATTCCGCGATGTTCGAATCTATCGCTGATGTTCTCTCGTAGTACCCTGTTCCCACAGTTCTTTATACGCTCGTCTTGTATATGATGGCCAAATTCACCGAGTTCGTACTGAGCCGGTTCTCTGTACAATATGAGGAAATGTCGTTTGAGAACAAGCGAAATTCTGTGACCTACGTCCTCGACACATTCGTCACTTTTGCCGTTCTTATCCTCCAACTCGTCGCCTCCCCAATCCTCGCGAGCAAGTTCACATTCGACAATGTGAACATGCTCAAAGCGGGTACACTCCTGATATCGGGTTTATACATCTTCGAGCTCACATATCGCCCCTCCATGCGATGGCCGTTGCTTATCCACCATTTTTGCACGATCTTTGCAATTGTGTTGTTGCTAAGCGTGTTGGCATACACTGGACATCCACAAATTGTTGCGGCGGGTGAGATATGGCTGTTTCAGGCTACGACGGAGCAGAGTGTTTTCATAGGCTTGTTCATGTGTAAGGGTTATCTTTCCATGTTTCGTATTGGAAGCTTATCTCTCCCCGTCGGCTTTTTCGCAGACCGTCTGCGTTTCCCTCTCCGATGGACTCGAGATATGCTCCGATTCGGCGCCGTCCAATCATTGTGGGTTTTGTTTTCCTGCCTCTCTCTTTTTTGGTCTCATAGAATGTTGTGTTCAGCATCTTCAAGCTTGCCTTTGCGGCTTATCTTCTCGCATTCTGGGCTCAGAAACTCGCGCAATTCCACACCTCATCCAAGGACATCGCGCTATCCGTGATGCTTGTCACCATCATCGTGCTCCTAATGTGTACTCAAATGTGGGTTTCGTAACCCTATTTTCTTTCCCAGTTTCGCATTTACTGACGTCCATGTTCGCTCTCTTTTGTATTTACAATAGCTACGGTGCATGGGCTGTCTGGTGTCTCGCCGAGAAAGTCAACAAGTCAATGCAATTTATACAGCAACGGCAGCGCGCGGGCTCGAATGTGACTGTCAACGCAGTGTCGCCCGCGGACGAGAAGGGTAAATCCGTGGACGAGGAGGAAGTTTGAGTCCTTGTGAACGACCCTTTCACACTCTCTCCACCGCTTTTTTATATCTCATTCCGCACACTCTCATCTAAGCTACATGCTTTCCTCGGTCTGGTACTAATTCGAGGAGCCCCGCATGACGATTATACGCACAGACTCGCAAGATCCCTCTGGACGCGATCATGAGTCGAAACAAACTCTGACAGACCTTTCGTGGGTTCGGCTTTTTCCAGTGGAGAGTCTGGAGGTCTGCAAATTCGCATCATCGGGGAGTTGCATGTATTTAGACAATTATGTATCTGCAATGCTTTCTGTATTTTATAAGTTATACTTATATCCATGTACTACATAATGTAGGTAACAAGCTGGAACTATTTCAAGGAACATGGGCTTCAAGAAAGTATGACCACTGATTGCTATCAGCAGTGGATGTTCAGCTGAGTTTCACTTTGTATTTACTACCATTCAAGTTGTTGGGGACTACTACTAGGCATGGGGATTTCATGCGCAAGTTACTGGCTAGTCATTATAACGCACCAGATTCTTCTCATTTGGCCGGAGTGGTTAACAGAAATTCGATCATCCCCGAGACAATTGCTTTACCGAGTGTATCTTCATTAGCTCCACGCGTGCCATAAAGAGAAGCAAAATACGACAAAAGCAATCGTCACCTGTGCGATTCGAACACACGCGGGCAAAGCCCAACCGCTTTGAACTTCAGAATCACTTAGATTAGCAGGCGATCCCGTTAACCACTCCGGCAAAGTGACTTGAATCAGCACACTGATATTTAATTGACAGCTTCTAAGTGCAGAAGACCAACAAAACTGAGTCAAAGTCAGTAAATTTATCTGTTCAAATGTTCTCTTCGCAATGTTTCTCTGAGATTGTGTATCATACGCCTTTGTTCGTACGTCTCGTCCCAAGGGTACGGTAATTGGCCGACGGCGCTGTGCTTACGGCCGAAGCTCCCAGTGCTCCCTCTCTCCTCTCCCCGTCAATAGCCGTCGGTTTTTGTGCGTAGTCCTTTACATACATTGGAAAAGAGACCCAAAATCTCGACCGCCTTGGAAGATATAGTAACGATACAGTATCACAATCTACTATCCTTCTGCAAGTCCCAAGTACGTACATTGTCCTTCTACTTAATTGGTCCCGCAACATCCCCCACACTCCAGTCCCCGGAATTCAGTATATATAGAACATTCGAAGCTGTTCAAACCAGCTTCAAACCAGAAAAATGTGTTTTGATGACTCGTTTACTAATTTGTGCCTTGAAATTGATGTCCTCATATTTTGAGCAGGATGCATCAAGAATGCAACGTACCTTTTTACCTCAGAAACCTCTGTAGAGGACACAGCGAATTTTCACCTTCGAGACTCAGTCAGTGAATCGAGTTCCATTGGGCTGGTCTGCATCAACACATCAACATCGGTATGTCAAAGCCGTCGAAAATGTTTAAATTGTCTCCACTGACAGGTTCTGGACAGATTGTGGAAGTTGTAGTATTTGTGGAACAATCAGCCGAGGTATTCAAGTGAGTCGGCGAAATGTTAGACTACTTTGGCCATGGGGTCTTCTGACGAATGACCTAACTAAAGAGCTTCCGTTATAAAACAGTTTGACCAAAAACTCACCTACGATTCGGTGGTCACCAAAGCCCAATGACTGTCTTCCGACACCAATTTTCATGGCGGGACATTATGCTCCTCCTGCTTGGTGCGACCATGATGCATCTAGTCACAGTGTTCTACTCCATCGGGCCGACAGAGACCTCGTTCATCATAAACACACATGTTCATGATATCTCACCAGCAGAGTTCATTAAACCGTTACCTCCCCCTCCCCCTGATCCACCCGCAACAATTGCTACTGATATTCCTTCCGACTCAGAGTATCTGGGTGAAGTACATCGCATCGCAGGAGTCCATCTCGCATCTGAGCTTCCGATGACTTCAATTATGCACCATGCTCCTGGATACACCATTTTTCGAAATTTGTACATGTCGAATGGGACACTGTTCATACTCTCCCCGAATAACTCATTTCCAGAAATCAGAATGATGACCAGTGTGAGTATGTTCGCGGATGGATCGCCAGAAAATATCGCTGCAAGGGAGCCGAATTCGGATGTAATGGATTTTATCACGCCGGAGGCTGCAAAGAAGAGATGGGGTGGGGATGTACAAAATGGGGTGAGAAATCACGTATTCACTGTTGAAGGGAATACCGCACTATTTAACGACCCTTCACAATTCCTCCGTCATTACTACCATTTTGTCGCCGAGCTCTGGATTGGTGCACAAGCATTCTGGCACGGCGCATTTTCTCCACCAATCGAATCCACGATCCCCGATTTGAAGAAGAGTTCAAACGTTGGAGGTGAAAATTGGAATGCGTACCCGATTGATACTCAGACGCAACATGAATCCGCTTATCAGTTACACCATCCTGCACCTCCACCAATACATAGATCGATATTCATGCATGCAACCGCAGATGGATGGCGCGATGACCCTGGGTTCAATTCATATTTCTTGCGTGCGGCATATCCTTCAATGAGTGTCGAACATCAGGAGGATTGGGATGACCGGGTTGCTGCCAGTCGGTCGAACTCTGGCCAAGACCAGGATCGAGCATGGTTGTTCCCTATAGCGATGCTCATCGATCGTAGTGCGACGTTCCGGGATGATATGACGGGAAGCCACACCCAGCGCACCGCGGCTCAGGCATGGGAGTACATGCGTAATATAGGAAGACTGAGGGGTGAGCGGGTAGGTGGGTGGTGGGAACCCGTGAGAGACGCTGTATTGAGGTTTGCTGGTGCGGGCGATGTGCAGGAAGAGTATAGGGAGAGAGAGTTGCTGTTGGACGGGACGGAGGATAGGAGGGCAGAGAACAAAATGGGGGAAGATGGTCATATTGGGGTTACGAAACAAATTGACATTCCAATGCCGCATAAAGTTGTGGTGACTTATATTAGTCGACAGTCGGGAGTCCGGCGTAAGCTCACCCCTGCGTCGCATGAGAGTCTAGTCAGTGCGTTGAGAGAGTCCGCAGACAGAAAGGGGTTCGAGTTGATCATCATGGAAGCGGAAAAGTTGACGAAGGATGAACAACTCCAAGTAATTGGACGGACCACAGTGAGTCTCTATGCAATCTATTCTGACTCGCCTCTTGACCTGCTCGTTTCCCAATCCAGATCTTACTCGGCGTACACGGCAACGGTCTCACACACCTTGTATTCATGCCTCCTACACGCTTATCCTCGGTAATAGAGATCTTCTACCCAGGCGGCTTCGCACATGACTATCACTGGACAGCAAGAGCGTTGGGTATGCAACATTTCGCGGTCTGGAACGATACGTGAGTGTTCGTTTCCCGCAATCTGCGTCTCCTTTATGACTATTTTGCCTAATTTCAATTATCTCTTGATTGCCAATTCTCTCCGCACACTTTCGCGATTATAGCTTTCTCACACATCCAGACGAACCATCAGTCGTGTACCCAGAGGGGTTCCAGGATGATTATATCCCTGTACATGGGCCTACGGTGGCGAAGATCATTGAAGATCGATTGGACGGGAAATTTTCATAGAGTGGTAAATCACAGAATCGCGAAAGGTCAATGTCATGCATGTGGTCATCCGTAGTCATCCGTCTGTTCAATCACGACGTTCCTGAAAATGAAGCGCTACGGCCATGTGCATCATCATCATCGCAACCCGCCGACGGTGCTTCCATCGTCGTTGTCTGTCACCCGAATCTGGAGAAAATTGTGTCTACCTTTTTTCTCCACCCGATCATTTTCGACGTACAATTACTCCTTACTCTTACTTGCAGTACTGATCTTCTCAGTTGTACCCATACGTACCTCCGCCTCCGATCATACCCGTGCTTCTAGTAGGTCTAAATTATATGCTTTTCTTTTTCGGATAATCGGACAGTCCCTCCATTAGTTGTACATATCGAACCACCTCTGCTGCTAATCGTCTTATCGTGTATCATCGCTCTTTCTATTCCTTTGTAGTTATACGTTCCTTGTTTGTTGCCATTCCGATTTGATTCTGCTCCCAGCTGTCTTCTTCCTCCATATCCCCTTCCCTGCTTATTCTTTGTTGTTCCGACGTGCATCCCATGATTCCACATTTCGTCCATAAATTACTTATCTTCTCGACGAATACTTTTAGGTTTTTCTTGATGGGTGTTCTGATGGTTTTTCTAGTTCCCCCCCCCAGTACTTTGGGTCGGTAGTGGTAAGATAGTAGTACAATCCCCAGGACTACATAGGCTATAAATGAAGTTGGCTTTGGCATTGCAAACACGAGTCTAGGTAGCGTGAGGAAGAGTTGAAGACGTCGATACAGCTTGAAAGTACATAAATCTGCAAATTAAAACGATAACTTATCTTCGGGGGTTTTTGAGAGATTTTAAGGCTTCAAACATTGAAACTAACAGGGCTTCTGCTACTCTCTAATATACTACGTATGCTTCGAGGTATACTTCGAACTTTACTCGCTCTTTCTATTAGACAAGGAGCGGTAGGCGGTAGGATGTTTCACCTTGTGGTGAGACGCAGACGAAACTCCAGGCTGATGATCATTCATGAAGATATGGCGATCACACACATATCGCTATGTACTACCAAGGGAATGCATTCTTGCTCTGTGTCACTGGGATGGTTGAGATGAAGATCGGGTCCTGGAAAGTCAATTCCAGAAAGAAAAAGGTCAGCAACCTTCAATGTGTTTACGTCAATGAAAGGCTCAGACTTAAGTATCCCATCGCGACATAGAATATGGCTTGTTGAAAAAACAATGATTTTCATCTGTGGCTTTGTTAGGCTCTAGGTGTACTATCTAAATTGAATAGGTGCGTATGTAGAAAGTAATTGTATTACTAAACGCACATTCGCAAGGCACGGAATCAAGTAAGTACTACCGTAGTGCCAGGCAGAGAAGGCAATCCTGAGGGCAATACGGAACGTAGGTATTGCCAGTAATTTTTCCGGGGGTAACCTGCTTGAGTGTGGTATTGTAGAGGGATATTTATCATCGTCCCAAGAAAATACCGATCAGACGCTGGCCCAATCTTTGTCGCCTGTCCATGGCATAATGGCTTACACTGACCGGTTTGGTGTTTATCTACTAGTTCGAAGTTAACTCCATAATCAGTGTCGATGTACTGGCCGGAGAAATGTCCTCGGAATTCAATTTTGCGAGCTGGGTGGCCGATGGCAACGCGACTGTTGACTTTGCCATAATCCTGCCTTTGAGAAAGAATACGCACAATCCAATCTTGTACACGATGCTCGAGATCGGGAACGAAGGTCCCATTATCACCTGGGAAGGTGATGAGGAGTGGATCTAGAGTGTCATAGGTTGCCGGATCTGCTGGCGGGGGTGGTATTACCATTGGTAGTGAATATTCCACCCTATAACGTAGATATAATTTATGATAACTGGCAATACCAGTTTTTAACGTGTTTTGATCTTGATGGCTATAGCCACTGATTGTAAAATTAAATTTTACTGGTAATTACCGGTGCCAGATTAAGTACTGTCACTGTCACACTAAGTACTCTGCAATGTGAAGGCCCACTCCGGTTGGGGCTAGCTCTGCTAGCCCCAACACAACGGAGTGGGTCTGAATGTTGCCAAACCATCGCAACTAAAATGATGCAATGTGGAGGACCACTCCGGTTGGGGCTAGCAGAGCTAGCCCCAACACAACGGAGTGGGCCGGAACATTGCCAAGGAAACGGGCGCAC